GAACTTGATATATTGGTTGGCGAATTCCATTTCATGGAAACTGAATTGATGTCGTTTGGATGATGTCCAACGGCCATACTGCATTACTGAGCTCAACCCCGTTTGGTAGTCAATTGGATCGAGCCGGCGAGGGCTTGGTCGTGACGATTGAATTGCCACGGGGACTGTACTGGGGAACCTTGTGGTAATGAGACCCTTGGTTCCGGTAAACTCGAGTCTTACCAAAAGCTACTGAAATGGAGTGCGGGCCCGGTTGGGGTATGTTGGTGGAAGGAATGGAAGTAAAGAGTTGTCTACGGTTTGGTTTTATAACATTGACGGAGAGTCAATGAGGTTGGTTCAAGATTTCAAGCGTGGAAACGGGCTCTTGAGAGCCGACCGTATCCTTTTACCGTTTTGCTTCATTGCTTATTTGAGCACTTTAAATGAAGGTTCATTCTTATATGACTTTGATTGCTTATTGGGTGGTATACCACTGGGCTTTGGCTCATTCCGTGTTATTTGTTTTCCTTACAGGAATATACTTGCTTTTGAAAATGGACTGGATAGTCAATTGCCATACTGAGCTTGTAAATGTCTTTTGTATCGCTCTTGAAGTGAAACCCTAATGTATAACGGGTTCATTTCCTTTTGTTAGGCAAATCGAATGTGTACTTCTTAATGAATGGTTTTGGCATGCCATTATGGTTGTAAATGTTGATTTCCATTGTATATATATATGTTTATATGTTAAATTGATGTTTGGATGAACTTCGGAGCGATTCGGCTTTCAAACGGCAAAAGAAAAAAATTTGTTTGCTCACTGGACAGTATCCGGCCAAGAATCCGGCCGCTAATCCGGCCAGATTCCGGCCGGATTCTGACGTGGCCTGCACTATTCATCCTCGGCGCAAATTTTCGTTTTTTTTATTTTGTGTTTTCTGACTTGTTTGCGTGCATTGGTGAGTTCCGGAACGTTATAGAACGATGTAACTGTACCGTAGTCCTGACAAGAGCTGGGCAGGCAGTCCGCTAACCCCTTTGGTTCGCCTTAGGGGAAGGTGGGGCTGTCACAGAATTACATTTTGTTCGTTTTTTTAAATGTATATCCATAATAAGACATTTCTTTTTACATAGCTACCACTTTATTTTTACTAAAATACCTTATCAGATGATGACCAATATAGATAATAAATCCATTTTCTATTGAATTAGGTAATAGCAGAAAAGAGAAATGAATGCAATTTCATTTTTCTTTTCAATCACCAATTATCAAGGGTAATTTATTTAATTAATATGAGAGAAAAACTACATTTATATTTCCCAATTGCCAAAAAATTTTATTTGTGCTTTGAAAATGAAATATCCCTTTTAGGTTTTCATGTTTCTTGTTCTCTTAATGATGTCTAAATACAGTCATTGTTCAACCTGATACTTGCCTTAATAGTTAAACCATATTGACAATTGACTTACTTAAATCTTTGAAGCCAAATGGTAAGTTAACATTCACCAAAAATATATCATAATAACATGAAAAATGCAAGGCAAGGTAAATACTAAGGAAACAATAAACTGTGGCATCTTAATTGCGTAATTATGCATCTTTTAGAGTTAAAAATATTGTGTAATTATGCATCTAATAAATTCTTTAAGACTAATGAATATAAATCCCAATATCCTATTATATATCAGCACTGCATCTTACGTGAAAACTATTTTCTCATTGCCTTAAATTTACCTCAAGCATTAGCCAACTTTTACCCATAATGAGCAAGTCAAATGCAAGAACATAAAATGAAAAGCTGCTTATTATCAAGAAAAGTGAAAAGAAACCGTTACATTTATATATACAACTCATTATTTGTGTGCACCTAAAAAGACAAGGTTGCATGATGCTTGGCATGGGGAGGAGAAAAAAGCGATAATGAATTGTCTTTCTTCCAAGAAAAGAATGGCATGTGACAATTTAAACTATAAAAAAATTGCAAAAATACACTCAAAAAACCTTATTAAAAGGAAAACCAAATAGGAGCTAAAGAAACCATAGGAAATTTGGCACCCTTATCCTTTCTTGATATTTTTCTTATTAGCACCATTATGTATTTGTCCTACTGTCATTTAACTTTATCTGAGAATTAACTCAAAACATTCACGCTAGAAAAGGTTTGTATCCTTGGGCAAAATAACCTATCTTTGACTATCTCATTTACTTTTTTGAATCCAAACAAGATTGTTGAGAAGCAAAAGAGGGCACAGATCAACACTAGTACTAAAATTCTTGGTCATGTACTAAGTTTAATTTTCTTAATTAAATAACTAGTTCAAAAGGTAATGATTGAATAATTAATCTCAAATTTTTCATAAAAACTTATTATATTTTCTTATCTTGAAATAAGTGCAAATTAAACTTTCTGAATATTGATATTTTTAGGGAGCCAATCAATTAATTTTTTGATATGTGAATGATTAACACGTTTATTATATTATCAAATCTTTTTCAAGTAAAAAAAACTTTGACAATCGAGATAACATCATTCTAGATATCGAGAAATCAAAAAATTATCATGAAATAGTTACAATAACGTGGTGTTAAACCTAATTCTTTATAACTATTAACAATAATTTTATAGAGTTTCAGAATTTTATTATCCTAAAAACAGATCTTGTTTTTGTTGCAAAATGATTGAATAAATAACTTTAATGATTCTTGTAAGAAATGTATTATCTTCTTGCTATGAAAATAAGTTCACCAAAAGTTTTTCAACTTAAATATTATTAGAGGATTTAGTCAATTAATTTTTTAGATGTTATTAATTAACACATTTATATACTATTAATTTTTATCATGTCAATCTTTGAGGTGACATAACCCTACTTGTCAAGATGTCATTAATTATAGTTAAAGTAATGATGACACTATACCATAAAATTTAACCATCAAAGCCATTAATATTAACTTTAAAAAATTTAAAATTTTATTTATCTTAATAAAGAATCCTCATTTTTGTTGAAAATGGTTAATAGAATGTACTTTCCCTCCTCACTATGAAAATAACTGTGCCAAAACATTTTGAATTTAAACATCACTGGTGGACCATGTCGATAAATTTTTGAAGATGGCATTGAATAACACATTTATTATGCTATCACTTTTCTATGTCAATGATTTTTTGGCATTCGAAATGATATTGTCCTAATTGGTGAGAAGTTATTAGTCATCATTGACGTGATCATGATAATGAACCGTTAAACTTAATTGTTTAAAACCTTTAATATTAATATTAAAAAATTTCTTAAATTTATATATTCTGAATAAAAGTTCTTATTTTTGTTGCAGAATAGTTGATAGAATTGTATTTTTCCTTATTGCTATGAAAATAAATTGTGCCAAAACTTTTTAAATTTCAATATCATTCATGGAGTTAGTCGATTAATTCTTTGAAATGACATTAGTTAACACATTTATTATGCTATGCTACCAATTTTTTTCATGTCTATGAATTTTTAAGTTTGAAATGACATCATTCTAATTGTCGAGAAGTCATTAATTATCATGAAAGTAATCACCACATTATTTTATTTATTTGAAATAAAAAATTTATTTTTGTTATAAATGGTTGATAGAAATGTATTTTCCCTCCTTGCATATGAAAATAAGTGCACCAAAATTTTTGAATTTGAACATCATTAATGGGTCCTGCCAATTAATTTTCTAAGATGGTGCTGATTAACGCATTTATTATACTTTTAAATTTTTTTCATCTCGACTAATCTTTGACATACAAGATGACACTATTCTAATTTTTGAGAATTCATTGATTATCTTTAAAGTATAAAGATAATATATCATTAAATTTAACCATCTAAGACCATTAATATTAATTTTCAAAAGTTTCAAATCCTAAAAAGTGACCATGAGTTTTTGCAAATTGGTAAATAGAAATGCGTTATCACTCTTTGTAATGAAAATAAGTGACCAAAGTTTTTTGAATTTCAATATTGTTGGTGGACCAAAATTATTTTTTTTAAGAGATAGTGCTGATTAATTTGTTATGCTACCAAAATTTTTTTATGTCTATGAAGCTTTGGCATTCAATATAACATCATTTTAATTATTGAGAAATTGTTAATTATTGTTAAAGTAATGGTAATAATATACTGCTAAAATTAACCATTTACTACTATTAGTATTAATTTTCAAAAGTTTTAGAATTTTATTTATCCTAAAAAAAGTTGACACAAATATATTTTCTCCCATTGCTATCAAAATAGGTGAAGCTTTTTGAGTTTCACCATTATTTGTGGAACGAATTGATTAGTATTTTGAGATAGGAACTAATTAACACATTTGTTAGCCTATCAATTTTTTTACGTCGACAAAGGTTTGATATTCAAAATGCCATCATCCAAATTATTGAGAAATCATTAACTATCATTATAGTAATGATGATAATATATAGTTAAAATTAACCATTTAAGACTGTTTATATTAATTTTAAAAAAGATTCAAAATTTTAATAATCCTAAGAATAGACATTGGTTTTTGTAGCAAACCATCACAAAGTATCTAATAACACTTGTAGTACTAATCTACCATTATTAGAAGTGTCCTTTTTTGTAGTCCATTCTAGTATCACAACATGATGGAACTATGTTGAGACACAAAAAAAAATAGTAAGTATTTTTTGTCTTTGACTTTACTGATGCTTTCATCACCATACAAACAATACTTTGCAGAATGCAAGGATTAATGGATGATTGCGGAACATTCTTTAGTATTGTACTTTTCTATTTTATAGGGAAACAAAACTTTTATCAACTAGAACCCAGAGAAGGACACTAGCCATTTGAGAAAGTAGGATGGCAGAAACAATAGAAAATTGAAAAATATAAAAGAAGGATACACTGATTCAAGAAAAAAAAAAAGATAATGCCTATGCATGTAATTGAAACCACAAAACTAACACCTAGAGAGCAAAATATTACAAGATTCAAGAATAAAAACAAGAAAATCATTCATATAATAAAACATAATTGCCACTAGTCACATTTTTTTTTTTGACAACTCTTAAGCAAATTACCCAGAATATGCCAATTCTAACCGAAATTAGAACTAAACTAGAGGTGCTCAAATTTTGGTTCTAATTATTAGTTAAAAGCTTGTAAAACTCCAAAAGTTCTTTAGGACACTAAAAACTGAGTATCACTTCACTAAATCAATATTAGAACACAAAGCTATTAGCAACATTCTTGCGAGAAAATTGTGAATTTGAGACCATCTCTACAAGTCAACCTCCTTTCTTGATGAAGGACTGGTTTGATCCATTGTTATTGTCTTCATGTTCATGTTGCTGGGGTAGATCTCAGGAGGAGCAGTTAAGGCATTACCTTCATCCATTATATGTGCAGATTGATTATTCTCTTGATCACCTAAAAAGGATTTGGTCAACAAGTTTTATTCAATATAAGATGAATAAAGCCCATAATTCCAATTTTTATCAAAATTCTGATTATTATCATTAGAGCTGCTATATCTAAAAGGGTTAAACGAAATAGAACACTTGCCTTTTGGATCGATCCCAATGTCTAGAAGAGCCTTTCCTTTATCATTCTCACCAACTAAGAAGGCGTTGAGATTATTGTTTCCAAGTAAGTTTTGCATAAAGTTTATCTCATCATCATAAGAGTGTTGAGTGAGATAGAAAAGGGAATCATCAGTGGTGGATTGAGATAATTCTGGATAAAGCAGATTGAAATGAGTTGATGAGGGGTCCTCTGATATGATGGAATTGGGAAAAGTTGGGCAAGTGGTTGCACTATTGGTTGGTATCACGATGGTAGAGCTGAGGTCTACGCTAATGGTGGTTAAGGAATTATTATTGGGATAAGTACTTTTGATATACTCTTGCAAAATAGTTGACTGATTTCTTTCGTTCTGCACCCTTTCCGGTTTCTTGACCTTTCCCCTTGAATTTTGTCTCCTTTTTGTGGTATTCCAGTGATTCTTTATGGAGTTCACGGCCCTTCCTGGAATTCTTTTGGCAATTTCTGCCCATCTATTTCCAACCTGCATATGAGTTTCCACCAACAGTCTCTCTTCCTCCGGACTCCAAGTGTCCTTCTAAAATGAGATAAATATTTACAAACAACAAATGTTGAACATTAGACTAGTACAAGTGTAGAAATATTATAAGAAAAAATCAATATTGCATTAAAAAAATCATGATTCCTTTGTCATAGACAAAAATCTTTCATAACAAATCATGATTCCTTTGTCAAAAAAAGAGTTTCTCCTATCACATGAAATATGGGCTCGAACAATATGAGAAAGGTGACAAATATGACAAAATGCAATAGAATATACCTCCCTAGCAAGTTAACATGTTAAAATGCTGATTTAAAAAATTAAGAAAATCCCAAAAGAAAAATAATGGTAGAAAACTATATACATTTATTTACATAAAAAAATCATATTTCAAAGACAAATGATGCTATCCCTATAGATTGAAAAAAAAGTAAAAATCTTGGACACCAACAACTGGCCATATGTATGTTTATAGTCTTGATTTCAAGCAAAACCCCAAACTATAATATTGATGATGAATTATTGTACATACTAAATGTGAGTGATAGATGATAAAGATGTAAACAATATCCAAAAATTGAACAAATAATTACGTTTGTTTTGGAAACATCATTAATCAAAATTTTAATTTGTAAATCTACTTATAAGGAAATTGGGAGAATATTATTTTTCCAAAAAAGAAAAAAGAAAGTAGAAAAATAACATAATCAAAATTTTTGGGGGGGGGGGTTCTCATAGACAAACCTTGGAAAATATTTAGCACCAAATCTACAGAGAATCCAAGTTCTTAGATCCATTACTGCTTTCTATTAAAATTATGAACCTTACTTGGCAAAGGAAAGGCAGAAGATGGAAAATAAACAATCGAATCATGTGAAAGAACGACTAAGGGACCAAGATAATATCAAACATCATGGAAAATCAAGTTTTAGCTATCAAGTGACAAAAGATGGCTCTAAAAAATGATAAAAAGGTATAAAATATGTAAGTTGAAAAAACCTTAATATTGGGACGCAAATGGTTATGCCATCTCTCTCGGCATTGCTTACCAGTCCTTCCCACCATTTTCTCTGCCCATTTTTTCACTCCAAAATGCTTCACTAGCCTTCTTAGTGTACTGCATAACAACAAAAAAGGAAATTAGGAAGCTAACAAATTAGCCAATGCTTTCAGCATAAAACTAATTTTGCATGTTATAAATAAGATAAAGATCTAGGGATGGCAATGGAGGCGGGTGACCGCGGGCACCCGCCCTGTGGGGGACGAATGGGGAGGGGGTTGGGGCTGGGGGTGGGGCGGGAGCAGGGGGAATTTTTTCCCCCCCACTCATCCCCCGCCGTGCCACCTGCTTTAAAAAAATAAATATATAAAATATATATATATAATTATATATATAATATATAATTTAATTAGTTACAAACTTATGATAATGATATTATTAGTTATATGTATTATATAATGTCTATTAGTATATATAATATAATTGATATTATTAATTATACTAATAATTATATATGTGTACTAATACAAATTATTAATTGGTTATACCAAATTTACTAATACATTTATACTAAATCCCTAATTACACTTAATACAATAATATTTTTTCTTAAAAAAAGCACAAGCATAATAATAAATTGGTGATTGTATTTGTGTCAAAAGTGAAAACTTGACTATTTTAGTTATATTTATTTTATCATGTTGGATTATATTCAAATAATTTTTGTTTGATTTTTTTTATAAGTTTCAATTGTAAAATTACAATAAATAATAATTTGATGATATGTTGATATTTTAGTACTTGATTATTTGCTAAAATTTAACCATAATAAAATTATATAACAAATTTTTATTAGCCCCACAGGGGCACCCGCGGGAGAAGCGGGGCGGGGCGGGGGGAGTGGGGGACGAGGGATGGGGTGGGGGAGGGGGGAGTTTGTAGGCACCGGGGCAGGGGATGGGGGAGGGGTTCCCCACCCGAACCCCGCGCCGTTGCCATAGAAAGGGAATAGATAAAAGTAACAATAAAAACAAAAGAGACTAAAGGGGTATTCCATGATTTTACTTGTCTTCCTCTTCAGTCCATAGGCCTTTGATTAAAGCAACAGAAAAGCCACCTTTTTCTCTCCTTCCTGTTCCTCTAGGTATTCTCGATGCCACATTTTCTTCCTCTCCAAACCCACCTTTGAGATTCATTTCTTGACTTAAGTTTGGAGTACTTTCTTCATTGAAGAAAACCACCCCATTGATAAATCTATTTGTGTCATGAGAAGGAGGTAGAGTAGTTGGCCATTGGAATAGCCCTCCTTCTTCTCCTAGATGGCCATGGATTGCACGACTACTTGATGAAGATGAAATAAAATAAGGATTTATTGGAACAAGAGTTGCTTTGTTCTTCAAATTGGTTAGAGTTTTAGGTTGAGAAAAATATTTTTGATCCCATAAAGTTCTATATATGGGTAAGGTGTGCGGCTTTGGGTTAAGAATGGAAAAGGGAAGGTGATGATTCCTTTGGTATTTATTTGCATAAAGGAAATTTCTTCTCATTCCTTCTCCCTCCATGGAAGAGAAGTGTAAAAGAGTATTAAGAAGGGAAAAAAGATGTTTTTGAGCAATGAAAATAGCTTTATTTTTAATGAGGGAAAAGTTTTTAAGCTTTTCTTTCTTTCTTTCTTTCCTCAATTGAGTTAGAAAGAGGAGAACTCTATAACTTTTGACCTTTTCTCTATCCTTTGTTTTGTGTTTCTTATATTTTACTTGTCGAGTATGGACAAAAGTTGGATAACGCTTGAGTAGGATTGTCAATGGGCCTGAGCCAGCCCGAGCTCTGCTCGTTCGACTCGATAAAAGCTCGATTAGCCCAACTTTTCAGTGAGCCGGTTTGAGATTGAACCTAAAAATTATACTCGAATTTAGTGTGAATCGAGTTAGGGCCTCATTAGGCTTAAACCTGATATAGACCCAACTATTAAATTACCTATACATGTGATGACAAATAATATATATATATATAATATTTATATTTTGATGTTATATATAATTATATATCCAAATATATTATCACTAAATACTAAATATGTACAAATTATAGAACACAAAAATACATTTGAAGACTTTTCTACTAGCTTTCATGAGAGTCAATATTGGTAATGCATAACTGAACCTCTAATTCGAGCCTAAAAATTATGCTCGAATTTAGTGTGAATCGAGTTAGGGCCTCATTAGGCTTAAACCTGATATAGACCCAACTATTAAATTACCTATACATGTGATGACAAATAATATATATATATATATAATATTTATATTTTGATGTTATATATAATTATATATCCAAATATATTATCACTAAATACTAAATATGTACAAATTATAGAACACAAAAATACATTTGAAGACTTTTCTACTAGCTTTCATGAGAGTCAATATTGGTAATGCATAACTGAACCTCTAATTTTTCTTATTGGTTGTGTATATTTTTGCATTAGCATAATATTGGTTGATTTCTTTTTAGTCTAGAAACACAAGTCATCAAGCATGTTTAAATTCAAGTCACAAAGCTATGAAGAAATTCCAACTTTTGAAGATGTGGCTTATGACAGCATGTTTTATTACTATTTTTCATGTTTTTTGAACGAATTAGATATAAATGTCGTTGAAAAATTCTTGATTTATGTACTTTTTAAAAACTGTTATTTGTTCATAATTAGTTTAATGTTGTAGTCCTGTGAATATTAAATTAGTTTTACAACTCAATAGTTACAGTAATTATGTTAAGAAATTGAGGAACAATAAGTGAACTTGAGCTAAGTCCAAATAAGGCTCAAAACCCGAATATTTTGTGAGTTGAGTATGATCATCATATTTATTAACCTGAATCTCATGATCCGAAGTTCGAAAGTGTTACAAATTAAATGAGTTGAATCTGAACTTATGAAAGCCCGACTCAGATGGTCCAATTGACAGGCCTACATTTGAGCTAAAATTAAGGTGAGGAGAAAATGATTTTTACATAAGATGTACTAATGGTATGTGATAAGATACTTGGGTATTTATTCATATTAGTCTCAAAGGGTTTATTAAGTGTATCACTACATAATTAAGCTACCACGTTTAATTATTTCCTTAGAATTTGCCTTGCCTTGCCTTGCACCTTTTATACTATTTCCTTATGTTTTTTGACAAACTTTAACTTATCCTTTGACCTAAAAGATGTACATAAGTTGATTGCCAATGCTGCTTTAGTATTATATCAACTAGCAGCTGTATTTAGACCCAATTAAGAGAACAAGAAACATGAAAACCTAAAAAGGTCTTTGGTTTTCAAAAGAAAAATAAAATTTTTGGACAAGAAGGATACAGACATGTCGTTTTCCTATCATAGTAATTGTATAAATTATCCATGACCCTTGATAATTGAAAAGCAAAATGAAATTGCATTCTTTTTTCCTTTTCTATTGCTTAATTCAGTAGAAACCGGAGCGCTTATCTAAAATGGTCATCGTCTGATGAGGTCTTTTAGTAAAGAAATTGGTAGTTATACAAAAGAAATCTGTTATTATGTATACACATAAAAAAGAACAAAATGTAACTCCCATTTTTCATTTTCTTTTATTTTTTTAAAGTAATATCTGCTTTCACTAGCTCCCAATTTAATTTGACTAAATTATTTCTTTCTTAATCACAAAACTTTAAAGGAGTATAATTATGATGGTCTTGAGGTCTGCAAATTCTATTGCATTTTAAGTAGTAACTTCTAACAAGATAAAATCCTCAAAAATGTTCCTAGTAGTGTGTCAAGGACAAATATTCAAAAAAAGAGTCAAATATCCATACTGTAAATAGATAGAACCTTTGCCTATATTCCAAAAATTATACTCATACTCATTTATTCTTTTTGGGTTTCACAATTCTTATAATACTGAGAAATGAAAATTAGGACTTAAACTATTGAAAATCCCAAAGGATAAAAGGAGTAAATTTTTTTCGCAATATATTGTAGTAATTGATAAATGGCCGATACTACCAAAGTTGTGTCAATATTCTCTTGACAACTAGTGTATTAATGACTGCTGTTATATATCATTACGACACTAAAATGTGTGTGTATGTTAGTATATTCTGACTCAACTAAAGTGAAAAAAACAAAAACCAGTATGACCTATATCTTGAATAAAATTTACTTTCCATAATAGTGTCTATCTTAAGTGTCGAATTCGGTAAGTGTTGGATGATACCTAATTCTACTTTTTATGAATAATTATTGAATTTTTCTTACAAGCACAATTTAAAGAATGAGTATTATTTGGCATGTGCTGATTCGATATTTAAACATTTTCTTCTAAACTATTTTCCATGCTTGAGGATTTTCTTTGTAATTATATCTTTTCGAAACCACAACAGAAATTTTGCAATGACTTACACAATAATTGAAGTCATTGTCAACAACAAACATTTTAAAGCACTGAAGTTTTTTGATTTATGAAGCAACATTCTTTCACTCACTAAACAAGTGCTCATGCTATGTATAGATCAGTAATTTGGCATAATATTGCGTTTAGTGAAGCTTTCAATCTCAGGCCGTAAACATAAAAGGTTAACTTGAACATTAGACACAAATGGTCAAAAAATGATGCAAAGTATAAGAATGTGATCCAATAAAGTTACTTTATAATTGGCCTCCAAGTGATATAAAAAATAGAAACTTAGAAAGTCTAAAAACGTTACTACAAGAGATATTTTCCCTAAACTCAATACGATTTAGTAACATGGAGTAAAAATACAACAAATGATAATTTATCAAAATAAGTATTTTCACATCACAGAATTGAAAGGTTAGTTGTTTATAGAAAAATAAGTTAAAAAGATAATTATTTGCCATTTTCTCATTTAACTAGAAACACTGCTAAATACATGGAAAGAAAGATATGTTGGACGGATGTTTGGAGACAAACATGATTCGTTTTCCACAGGGGCTTTGGCGTTCTTGGGCCTTGGCCTGTGATCTTCTCACTCTTAACACCTTAACCTACCATGGACTGATTTAGCACCAAAAGAAAAGATAAAACAAAATTTGATTAATAAAAAATGACATATTTTTTGCTTAAAAAGAAAATTAAAGGAATAACAAAAATAAGATATTTTTTGCTTAAAAAGAAAAAACAAAGAGCTAACATACAAACAAAATATTTTTTCCCACATGGTTAATTTCTTAATAGTTCACTTGTTGATAATTACTCATAAATTATTTCTTGAATAATGCTATTGTTTAATTTCTAAGACATTGAGTTTGTTTGGATAGGAAGATTTGAAAAAAAAAAAATTTCTGCTTACATTAAAAATACAGTTTTCACTCACCTTTTTATCTCACATACATCACATAACAAAAAGTGTTACAATAATTATTTTAAATAAATATTTCAAATAACCTCCTATCCAAACAAACTCATTGTTAGGATTGAGAGAAATGGAGAAAAGAAAAAGGGTGAGAAAAAGATGACATTTCTTTTGTTCGGAAGTTTTAAGTAGAGAGAGAAATGGGAGGATAAAATATTTTTGCCGCTCGTGGTATGTAGGAATGGCCTGAAATGAAAAGGTCTTTTTAACGTGTACATTTCATTCCTGCATTTGGTATGGTTCATTTAAATGGGAAAACCATTTTTTTCCCTAAAATGCTCATTTTAACTTTTTATTGGAATCCCATTTTTTCAAAAAAAAAAAAAAAACTTAGGAAAAGCCCTTACACCTTCGTTTTAGAATGCCTAAAGTAAGATGTCAAATTTATCTTTATAAATCATTATACTGCATCATGATATCTTAGATTATTTGTAAGCTCAATTAATGTTTGAATGTAATTTTTCATAATAAATAATTTTCATTGTATTTAAAATAATTTTTTCTTTTATACAAGGAAACAAATGTTTTAAGATACTTTATTCTTTAACTTTTAAACAATTGTGTAAGAATTTTTTTCTTGAATCACATCAAAATTGAAAATAGATTAAAATTAAATTATAAATTTTTGATTTCATGTAATTTATATTTTATGTTGCTAATTCTATTGCTAGTAAATGCAAAATTTTAACTTAAAATTTATACATTAAAATAAATCAAGTGTTACAATTAAAGAATTTTCATAGCAATCCTCATTTATTTTGAAAGTAAAAATATCAAAATTTCACGGACAAATACAATTA